AATTCGTTTCTCGAATCGAATTTTATCATTTCAAAAACAATAATTTAGATGGAAAAAAATGATGCACGATATCGAAAGTATAAAACGACGAGAAAATGAAAAAAATGACTTCGCTGAACAGTTGCAAAAACGATTTTCACTGAATCGATATGGGAGACCAAAGCTAACACCAGTAAGCACTTCTGAATTGTTGGATTCGATAATTTTGAATTTCTCGTTTTATTCCTATTCTATACCGACGGATAAATTGTACGGGATGATCAAAGATCAATCATAGAAATAAGGAATTTTCAACTTTATAAAAAAACTATTCTTTAAGGATGAAAAACGTTTGGCAAAGGAATTACACGTATCAGATCATCTCCTGCAAGGTTTGGATAAAAACGATGTGAAAACAAGAGAGGCTTTGGAATTCAGTCAACTCTTTCAACAAGCAATTAAACTTGCAATGGTAGTTACTGGTGCCAATGGTACCGAATTGGAGAATAAAACTCTAAGATTTGGTTCACCACGTCTGTTATCAATGGTACCTGATGATGCCAATGATCAGGTAAACGTACTAATTCATGATATTTTTTGAATTGAAGGGAATGTATTTTGAATTATTCCGAATATCTCGAACAATTTACTTTTTCCACTCAATCTTTGTGACTTCTTCAAAGTAGTATGCTTCTTTACTTTGCTATTTGAACAAAGTATCTTTCAGATTAGCATTCTATCTCCCTCCCTGTTCAGCATGCACGATAAAGGTAAAGGTTTAGAGGCACTGACCAGTATTCCGGCATTGCTGAAAATTGCCGGAAACAGAGATTATGATGAATGGTTAAACTTCATTATGGAAGCCTCCGGTACAACCGATGCAGTACATAAACTAAAGGTTCGAATATGCATTATGACGTTTGCTATTTCTTTCATTAAATACGAATTTTGATGAAAAATATTTAGGAAAGTCAGGAATCGGATTGGTTACCACCCGGTTATAAGTCAATGCCACGTGGAATTGATGGTCAGCCAATGTATTTTACCAAGGAAAACTTAACAGAAATTGATCCAGAAATGGCCAGGAAGATGGAAGTTTTTGAAAATTTAAC